TCTTATTCCTACAGATTAGAATATGCACCCCTGCCTGTGAATATTCAAGATATGTAGGACATTACCGCACCCAAGACTTACTTAGCTGACCTCAGGGATACACTGTGTCCATGGATCTTACAGGTCTGAGTAACAAGGATATATTCTCAAAATGCATGCATATGCTAAAATAGGTCACTGTTTGCATAAAACGTGCAATATGTTGGCAGATGCTGTAACTGTGTATGCAGATAATGATGAAAGAATAAAAATTTGATTGCTTATGAAAGTTTCCGTTTGCACATATTGCACCTGTATGTTTCTCAATCTATCAGATACCTACATTTCAGGTTTTTTTCCCACAGTATTTTAAAAGCTAATCAGGAGTCTTATCATACTCTCTACATGTCCATATAACTATTATTAGAACATTAAAGTGGCATTACTTAATTTCACAAAGCAGCAAAAAGGGTGATCACTTTACTCGCATTCATTTGTGCATGTTTCCCAGAACTATTTAAATGCGTATTTTGGGATGTGCAGACACTCCACTTGGTTTTGATTGTTTTCAGGCAATTGAGATACTAGAGAAGTGAACATGCCTCTTGGAAAGTCTCTGTTGTATTTAATGATGTAAAACAACAGTGGCAGTTGCTAGATAGTAGAATGATTTTTCCTTAGCAGGTGGGAAATGGCAGAGCCAGTGAGAAGAGACCACCTGGGAGTGTAAAATAATGTAATGCAAGTAAGTGGAACACCCCTCAAGCAAAATTAATCAATCTAATTTTCAAGAACAAAAGACCTGGGCTGCTGCTTCAGCCTTCTGAAGTTATTCATAGGTTGGGAAATAAAGGCAGGGAAACTGAAGGAAACAACAATGCAAACAAAGCAGAAATTGAACGCAGTGGCACAAAATGAATACCTTATCATACTGAGAAGTTTGGAGTAGCAGGAAAAAGTTAAGATAAAGTTGTTAGAACTGTACTGTTGATGAAACTTACTGCATCTGGCTCTATAAATCCTGAAATCACTAAATCTGGACATTACAGATCTAGATTCCCTCAAAATTCTTCCACAACAGTAATCTATGGATGACCTACCAAAAGTCATAAATAGTATATAGCTCCTTAAACTGATTTGTAGTCTACAGCTTTACTCACAAACATCACCACACAAACACAGGTACATCACAAATAAGCACCAATACCCACAGAATGCATTCTCTTTAACAGCATAATCAGAAATACTAGTATATCATTTAAATTCCTATTGCCTACACTTAATAAACTAAACACAGGCAAGAAACTAATGTGCAAACGTGATGTAGGAACTTGTGTTATACACTTTGAAAGAGGCTTCTCGAGTTTCCATTAACACAGTCTTTTGTCATGGAAGAATCTGTACAGGAATACACTTTTTCAGTCTATCAGGGCCCAATTCGGGAGCACGAGGAGAGAGCATCCTGCTGACAAGGTCTAATAAAGGTTGCATGATCGATTTCTCAAAGCAGTAAAGAGGGAACACAAAGGACCTTACGTTTTTTATTGCACTGAAAAGTGCTGATGGCTCTGCTCAGATTGCTTTCCTGTCTTAGAAATAAAGGTTGCAATAGCATGTATGTAACAGCATACACAGTACAAAGGAAAAAAAGCAGGTAGACAATTAGGAGGAAGAGGATGGACAAAATCTGCCCTGGGGTATATTTATGCTGTGTTCAGCAGCTGTGACTACAGCACATGTAGTAGCCACCTTAACCCAGCTAGGTCAGGTAAGAAAAGTCATGAAGCTCTAAGGATGAGCTCAAACTGCCATGTCTGATGAAAGAGATGAATAATTATGTTCCAAGATTTTTACAAGTTGTATCCCATGAGACTGGATATTTATGTTATTGTAACTGATCTTAATCATCAGTAAACAAAGTTTGCATGCTGCCCTTGACAACGTCAGTGCTGAACTTGCATGACTTACAGAGATGTTTGGGACCTAGATTTTGAAAACTGGGTGGCTGCATGGGTTTTCTCATTGCTGAATGGACTAACTCTTACCCAAGTAACTATTTTCTTTCTCAAATGAAGCCAAACACATGGCTTCATATACGGAGCAGGGCTGCAGGTACAGAAGATTTGTTTGGCGTGTGCTGTTGGAACACAACTCGGAGCAGATTAGAGTCTCATATGAATGTAAATCAGAGGGAATTTTTTCTACAAAGACACACAGAGGCGAAACCACTAGAAAACTGGCACCAAGTTCTTAATGTATCTTTCCTGCCATTTATGAATTACATTAAAAGATAAATGAAAGCATGACCATTGGAAGTTAAGCCTAATAAAATGGAGTGATTTCAGGTACTGCTATTGTAAATTTTAACGTATATGTGGTGTATGTTACAGTATCAGCATTAATGACTTGGCCAGGATCTAAGTTACTGTGCTGATTTATTGTGCTCTAGGTTTACTGAGGTTTTGGCAAAAATTTTCTTGTTCAAGCATCTCCTGAGAAATAACTAACAGGAAACAAGTCTTGTGGCCCACTGATAACTAAAAAGTAGGCACTAGGTACAAAATCAAAAGGTTGTGATTACTATTTTGATACATGTAGATTCTGTTAAGGCTTAAGACTGGAGTTGGTTGTGTTTTTTGAGGGTGTAGTTATTGAAATGCTAGATGTTTTTGTTTTATGTTTGTATCTCTAAATAAAAGGATTGGCAACAGATGTAGATTGCAACAGCTTGAGTCTAGATCATGGCAAAAGCTAGTTCTCTGTCTTACAATCAGACAGAATACAGTTACAGTAGCTATGGAAATGCTATGACACATACATTGTTACTTATATGTTTTTGCTGAGTGACATTACCCTACAATAAAAATTGAGACTGAAAAGCTATTTACCACAGCGAAAAACTGGATAGGCCCTGTTTTATCTTCCTTAAACATTTCTTTAAAAAGATTCCTGTTATGAAATATATGAGCCACATGCATTACAGGAAGCAACTAGATAAAAATCCTAATGCACTTACAGTCTCCACTACTGACAATTGACTTTGATCTAACAGGAGCACTTCAGCATGGCTGGGCAGAGCACGCACACATCTCCATTGACTTTTTGATTTGGCCTCACATGTATACCTCCCCATGAAATACATCCTCCTATGTGTACACATCTCACTGCTCAGAGTAACAAAGTGACATTAATGGCTTTCTTAGAAGACCTTTTATCCCACAAATAGTAAACACATAGCAACTGTACATTGAATTTTAACATTTCCATCCACCAAAAAATCCCTAAATTCTTGACAAACTGATACAGAACTGCATTGCTTTATTCACTAATGAAATATGATTACTTCTATGATTAACTAATTAATTAGAACTGCACAGTACAAGACAAAATAAAAGTCCTAATCTGCAGCTTATAATAATGTAAGATATCTAATTAAAATAAGTGGCAGGATTAGGAATGGGATTACTCTATTAAAATGTGGACGGATTGTCAGACCTGGCTCCAACTTACAGCCTCATCAAGGCCTACTGAAATGCAATGGGAACTTTAATCCATTAGGCATTAAAAATAAAGGAATTGTAATCTCCTCCAGCTGAGAATGCAGAAAGAGAGACTGCATTGTTTGGCAGTGCACGTACAACAACTTTCTCACACTAACTTCAACTTTTGACATACTGGCCTTCTCAATCTGTCTTTAAAGGTAACTGCATTACATTATTCCCATAAAAATAAATAAATAAATATTCAATATATTTTAAATACAGATATTGATTTTATAGGTTTTTAGTACAAATCTATGTTAGCATTTTCTTTAGCTTTCAAGTACCATGTCATATATATAATACATATAAAATAGCATATAATTGCAACCTTAAGTGCTAGTGCAACTAGTGTTGAGTAACCCGTTTATTTCTATAGCTGCAAATAATTTGGGCATAGGCATTATTTTGTTAACCAGGAAAAGAAGCAAATTTGAGATTTGTTATCAGGGGGGTTTTTAAGATCAGTATGCCACACAAGGTTTTCATTCAGTTTGCAGGGTTTGTAGTGAACAATTCATCATGGAAAACAGATTTTCCGTTCTCTCAAATGTGTATGTTATTGATCAGGAATGCTGCTGTAAGTAATTAATTTTTAAAGGAAGCTTTTGTATCACTGAACAGTACTTATCTAGTAATGCTGTACCATGAAGAAAGCATCTGCCTGCTGTATCTTTGCTATAGAACTTTTCAATCCAAGTCTTTTCGATGGCTCCATTCATCTTCCCTGTGCCAAGAAAAGTATTGACAAAAAGTGACACAGTTACAGTGAATCAGTAAGGAGACCAGCTCCTCACAACAGATTGAGCTCTGAAAGGAAGGGTCAAATTCAATTCTCATTTGCACACATGAAGCCCCGCTAGCTGAAATGAATCTGTGAAACTGGAGGCTGAATATATAGCTATCTACATAAACATTATTATATGCACATGAAGACGTAAGAGCTCCAGGATACAGATATTTCTAATACATGTTACTAGAACTAGTAGATGTGGTTTACGTAAAGTATCCCAGATTTTGCCCTTGTGCAGTGTAGTGACATGTCTGTGACACCCTCTCCAATAAGTGCATTGCTGCGTGAAGTTTTTTGCAGGTCTCTTTTTAAAACCTACTGGATGCATCGCTGTTTCGTCTTTGCACGTCCCTGTAATTCTAGCTTGCCTTTTTTTTTTCTCCTGTGTAACCACCGAATTAAAAGTTTGAGAATGCCCCTTTCTCTCTCACTTGAGTAATTAGATTTTGCTTCTTATTACAGCTAAATATCTACCACATCAATCACTTCCCCCCCCCCCCTTTTTTTTTTTACTGACCTATTTTTTTTGACCATACACTTCCCTCCCAAAGCCCCAGTGTAGTTTCTTTTTCACCTGACTCCCAGCTATGTTAAGGCTAGCATTAGTGGTACCACTGGCTTGTTTTGTAAATAACCTGTCTTGACAAGTAAGTGAAACCGCAGGTGTCCTCTCCCATTGCCACCAGGATGTGGCCCTGGAGAATGTTCCTCTCTAGACAAAGACACTGAAGAGAGGAAACTCGGCTTGGTTGGGTTGCAGCAAGTCAGTCAGAAAACACACAGTTCCTGAGAAACCTTCATACAGACTATATACACTTTCTAATGCCCGGGAACCAGCCTTAAATTCTTCCGTAAATAAAAACTCTGCAAACCTAGGAGAAAACAAAAAAAAAAGTTCGTTATTATTTGATGTCCCTCTAAGTCTACTTACCTGTTGCTTGAAAGCATCATTTAAATAACATTCAATGATTAAAAAAGTAGAATGTTCATTATTTAATCTTATCTGCAAATTTTGCACTATCCAATTTCCACATGAAACAGATCTAGAAGAGACAAACCTTTGCAATCTGTATGTGTGCTATGCTTGTTTAAGAGCTATAAACTTTTCCTGATTTCTGTAAGACATCATTAAACACATACTTGTAAATAACTTCTATCTC